AACGAAGAGCATGAGAGAAACATGCAAAAGACAGTGCGTTTACTTTCCTGCAGCGCGGTTACGTGAATTTGAAGCAGGACACAAACATCACAAACCGTAACCTCACAGAACCAGGCCATTAAAGCTACATGATAGGAGCATGATTTCGTGTCTGTCTAAATTCGATCAGTGTGTGTGTGTGTGTGTGTCTTTGGCAGATTCAACCATATTCGGAAGGAGGTACGAACCCAACGTCGCCAGATCGCTCCTCAAAGCCTAAGCCTTGGCTTTGGCGGTTCAGGTTTTTGAGTTCGTAACAAATAAGAGAGGCAAGCCGAAGCCCAAGCCTAGCTCAGTGTCAAGGTTTGTGTTGTTTTTCGTAGTTTTTTTAGTGTAGGAAGATCTCATAAAGCCCCAAACCCTGCGACAAACCCCAAACATGCCCTAAACCCTAAACCCTTTGCAACCTACTGCTGCAGACCTTGCCAGGCTTGTCCGAGCGTGAGTGTCAAAAAAACCTTTGCAAATGCCTGAGAAAAAAAATTCGAGCCTCACCGCCAGGCGCCCACGGGCCAGCTACACTCCTCCGCGATCAAGCCCGGCACACCTTACTCGAAGGAACTGCACCCTGGCTTTTCGAAGCCCTTAGGACTTAGGGTCGAAGGGAGGGGAGGGCCTTCGCGGTTTCGGGGTTTAGGGTTTAGGGTTTCGGAGCTTTTCTTTCACTCCCGCGTTTGCATCCCTCGTCAAACGAGAAGGCCCTGCTGTTGAGGAGTGTTCGCTGGCACACAATCCAAGCTCATGCTGAAAGGGTTTCAGGGCTACCCAGACCTTCCGAAATCCTTGAATCAAGGAATTATCCCGTAAATCCTATTAGGGATCCTAGTATGATTTAAGGCATATTCCCTAGATAAGGGATTTTGGAAGGTCTGGGTACAATAGAAGCCCAAAAGTTGCAAACCCCATAGGCCACAATCCTGTAAAGGGAATCCTAGCGCTATTTGGCCTTAGTCCGGTTTCCAACTTGATGGGGATTTCTGTAGCACGTTGTTTGTTTCTCATGGTGTCATAAGGAAAATAGCAGGCCAAGCAAGATCCCAAATTCCGACGTGCCCACCGGGCCTCCACCCTTCTAGGCTGCCTCAAGCATATCCAGATCATAGCGATGCTATAGCTCTTGACCCTAAACCCTCAAAGCCATATGCTAGGGATGCTCTTACCTGCGGTCGCTTGAAACGGTTCCTGGAAATACGTGTGCAGTATAAACAAGTATAACATATACCAAAACCCGAGTTCGATGAGTAGGCCCGTACAGTAGGGAGCTAAGATTTAGGGTTTCGGGAGGGCTCCGCGACGGGGATTCAAAAAACCTTGAAGCTTGAAGCCATGAGTTTCGAAGCCACTGTTTAGGTTTAGGCCTTTAGGGTTCTGAGGTTTAGAGGTTTCAGTGTGCTCAGACGTTCTGGCGATTGCGCAAGTCCTGATGCAATGTTGGTGAATACAGGCGTCTTAATCTTTCGTGTTGCTATTGCGTCGGATGTCGATCATAGCTATACTATACTATAGTTACTATAGTATCGCCGCATAACCGCGAACATCCGACATTCCCATTATGATACCATGCTCTTGCACAACAAAAACATCAAACAACTGTATTCTAAGCATAAAAGGCCCCTCTGTTGGGGCCCAGGGGGTGGGTATCTTTGGAGCTACTTGGAGGATCACGGGACTGAGTAAGTCAGGTTGTAAATACCTTAAGTGGGCTTATAAGAGGCTATAAGTATAGTTACCTTATCTATAACCCTAGTTACTAAGTCTCGTGATCCTTCAAGTAGAGACGCCAATATCCCTTAATTCGGGAATATACCTTAAATCATATTAAGGATCCTACTATTATTTAAGGTATATTCCTTACTTAAGGGATATTGGAGTCTCTGGGTATCTTTGGAGCTAGAGGCGTCTGCTGGCACATGTTTTCGACACGGCGGAAGCCGGAAATCCGGGTTCGGTGCCTCGGCCTACTTGCAGGAGTTTAGGGTTTAGGGTTTCGGGGTTTAGGGTTTAGGGTTTGCCGTAGAATGGCGCATAAGCGGAAGTATCTTGCGACAGCGTAATGTCGAGTGCGTCGTCCTCTGACGACTGGCCGTTGGAGCCTGATTGTGGGTGCTCTTTCTCTTACCTCTCCCACCCCCCGCCGTCTAAGGCGGCCAAACCCAAACCTATTCCTTTTAGGGTTTAGCACCTAAACTCATTCTATGGTTTTCTCTATCTCTTCAGCCGCAGGCAGGGCAAACCAGTCGAGGAGTCCCGAAGGGTTTGGAGCAGGCCCACGCAAAGAAAGAGGGGGACCTCGACTTTGGCACTTGGCCCAAAAAGACAATGCACAGAAAGGAACGGTATTTTGGGAGGGTGCGGGGGGGCGGCCAGGAGCCGGGGGACGGAGGGCCAGTGGGCCAAGGCGGGCCAGGGGGCTTCCATGATCGCCCTTGGGGGGTCCCTTTTTGGCAACGCCCGACCTTCAAGATGGTGGGCTTGGGGTTTACGGTAATTGCTTCATTAAGGGACCACTACTGGTTTCGAGGAGAAACCATCCCCGAGGCGGGCAAGCGTCTTGGGTCGCTCTGAGCCATCGAGGTCGAGGGGCTTAAGCGCCGCCTACCCACGGAGGATGGCGGCCTATGCCTTGAGTTTAGGGTTTAGGGTTTATGGTTTAGGATTTAGGGGTTTAGGGTTTAGGGTTTGGGGGGGTTCAGGGTTCTAACTTTCCATTTCTGGCTCAAAGCAGGGTGGTGTGCTGGCTCTCTGTTGGTTGTTCCTCTTTCTGATTCTAAGGTGGGAAGGTTTGCTGAGTGGCTTTTTCTGGGGTGGGTGGCTGGGTAGGAAGGTGGGTGGGTATAATTCCTTTCGGGTTTCGTGAGGGTTTTCTTACACGCCTTATTAGGCTGCTACGAGTGCTTATAGGCATTATAAGGATCTAACAGGCTTCAAAACAGGTTCAAGAGGATGTTACAAGGCTTTCAGCCTCCCCTTTCGGGTTCTATCTTCGATTTCTTGGGTTCTAACTTACCCACCTAGGCAATACCGACACATGTGGTTCTGACTTTTTTGTTTCTGGTCCTCACTTGCCGTCCGGGATGAAGCGGATGTTTCATTGGCTAGGGTCGAAGATTCAAGCGCGTTCAAACTAAGTCTTTAAGTCTTTGTGTTGAGGGTCCGGGAGACACTGGAACTCCTGTTTGACCCCAGGCCTTCCAAAATCCCTTAATTAACGAATGTACCTTAAATCATATTAGGGATCCCATTATAATTTGAGATATATTCCTTAATTAAGAGATTTCGGAAGATCCGGGACAGGCCTGGCTCTGGTTGGGACTTGAATACGCGTGCGAGGAATATCCCGCTGCGTCAGTCCGATGCTTCTTCAGACGTCCGGCCCCAGCCCGTGACTCAAAAAGGAATGTCCCGCTGCTTTGAGGCCATATGCAATACTCGGGAGAAGTCTTTCAGATTAGCGTGCAGATTTCTATTCTGAATAAGGAGTGACCTGGAATTTGGTCGTATCTCTCTTGCTTACCGCTCCTGGTCATTCTAGGGTCCTTTGTTCATGTGGTGCTCCTTTCCCCTAAACCCTATACCCGAAATCCTAAACCGTGTATGAGGCTCGGATATGGAGTCGTTCCGGCATGTCTGGCATTAAGGCCATCAAGCTGCCTTTATTGCCGGCCAAGACCAGGATAATTGGCACTGAACCTGAAGCTGTAGTCAACCGTTCCTCATGCAGGCCTCGGCCTTGCTAAGTAGGAGCGAGAAAACCCTGAACCCTAGACCCTACACCGTGGCCCTAAACCCTAAACCTTGGGTTTAGGGAGCCCGAAACTCAGCCAAGGTGTGCGATGCGATCGAGCGCTTCGGCGAAGACATTCTCGGCCCGGCCGGGCAGTGGCTGAAGGCTTCTTTGTCTATGCCTAATCACGGGGTTTAGGGTTTAGGCGTTAGGGTCTTGGGGGCTTAATCCTGATTTGGATTTATGATTCAGGGTCAGGGATCTGCAGCCTAAACAGCCCAACACGGCAACCCACAAGAGCAGTTGAAACCAGTGGAAGCAACGACGGTTCCAAAAGATGCGCTTTCGCAGACGGTCTGTGGGTGGGGGAGGGGTTACGAACTATCGGGCATGCAGATCTTGTAGTCGTCGGTCCGGGTCGAGCGGGTCCCCGGAGCCTTGCACCCTGAACTTGACAGATCTTGAGAAGGTGTTCTTTGTCCAGGCACCTAGACCCACGACCAAAGAATGCAGCAGCAGCAGCCGCAGCCGAGTGGTGGTGTGGTGGTTGTGTTCGGCAGACTTGCTGCAGTGTTTCAATACTAGCATGTTCAGATTTTGCACATACCCAAGATTGCTGTGCAACTTCGCAAAGAGTCGCCAACATTTCTTGTAGGAGTGGGTACACATGTTAACAGGTATGTGCATTTAACAGCCACAAAGTCCTTCAAAAGGAGTTCAAGAAATCCCCAAGCCCCAAAACCCTAAACCTAAACCCTAAAGCCCTAAACCCTAAACCCTGAGCGCTCTGAAAAGGATTTCAAGAATCCTAAAAACATTCCAAAACTCTCAAGAGGTTGCTGGGCGGCAAAAGACCACGGTGCTTAGCAAGGCCATGAAGGCTTGCCCCCGAGGACCGGCTTAGGGCTGAGACTTCTAAGGGTTTAGGGTTTAGGGTTTTTCAAAGAAAGGGTTTAGCTGCTTTAGAGCGGTTTTTGGGGCTTGGGGTTCAGATCATTTATGTAGGTGTCCGAGGCATTTTGGGGTATTTGAGATTCTTGAGGTGTTCGGGCTATTTGGGGGTAGGGTTTCGGAGCAGGGTTGAGGATACTGAGGGTGGAGGAATCGTTAGTCGATGGTTTATGATTGGTGCTCCGAACTTTGCTAGTGGAAGTCATGGCGTAGATGGGCTTCTTCCGTCTTTTCAGGAGGTAGCATCCTGGAGATTGGGACTTACTGCGGCTACTCGGCGCTGCGGATGGCTATGATTCTGCCTGGTGCTCGAGTGGCGCAGCTCGCAATGCTTGTAATCCTATTTTCTTCAAACTTCCAACCAGCTACTTCCACGCAGGAGGCCTTCCAAACACTGCTGTAGATCTGGCACCGCGGCCTCTGTCCCGTGAAGCACGCAATCTAGAAAAGCTTGAGACCCCGGATGAGCCAAGCTCGCACCCTCCCGCCGATAATTCCAACATTGGCGCCGTCATCGTCGTCGTGGTGTCGCCTTCGTCGTCGTCATCACCGCCATCGCCACCATCATCACCTAAACCTGTCCCTGATCGTGCCGCACCCCGGCAGCAAGACTGGTAAAATCTCCGGACGAACGATCTCAGAGACTCAGCATAGGCCTTGGGGGCTTTTGGGCCAGCCCTCTCTTGCACCAAGGTCGTATCTCTGGAGGTGGACCCAGCACACATGGTGATAGCCCGCAACATGGTGGCCTACGCGGGTCTGGCGCACATGATCGAAGCCTGCCTTGTACCAGGGTTTAGGTTCGTTGGCGGAACATACTGTTAGCACTACGATGATCACGAGGATGATTGCCGAAGTTTTTATCATTATTGTGTTGCCGTTGCTCCCAGCCTGCATCTAGAGTTAGGTAGCTCGAACGTTACAAACCTTCGTCCCGCGGTTTGACAGTGCTACCAGGGTTTGCAGATCTTGCATGTGAAAACCTACAACTACTATCTCCACGCTCGGGACTACGAAACCGTGTATTCAGCCTTGGTGCATCTCGATGCAGGGGCTGGCTGCTTACAAGCTGCTCACAACTGCGCCGCAAAAGTAACGGACACGAAAGCAGGCGTTGGGGAATTTCATGGGCCACAATCGCATCCTCAAGCCCTAAACCCTAAACCCTTTAACCCCTGAACCCGAAAAACTGGAGTGTGAAGGCAGAAGAAGTCCATGTGCTCTTGCCGAGGATATCTGGACCGGGCACAGCAAGGATGTGTTGCCGCGGCTGCCCAGGATGGGGGTGGGGTGTTTGTTAGACACAGAGCCCTGGGGGTTTGGGTTTCAGGGCTGGGTTTGATAAACCCCAAACCCTAACCCCGAACCCGGAACGCTAAACCCCATGTGCTGAAGGGCTAGTAAGACGCCTGCTCCATTGGAGCTGTCCAACTGTACTGCAGCTGGAAAAAGGTCTTCAAAAAACAACCATATGCTAAGCACACCCAGCGGAAGCGGCTTTCTGGACAGGTGGCGAACAGAAAAGGGTCGTCTGAAAAAGCCATAGGCAGTCTGTTTGCAGACCTTGCCTTGATCCGAATGTGAGCGTGAACAAACACTTTGCAGCTCTTTGCCAGTGCCATTTGTTTTTGCGCTTCACCACCCAGACCTTCCAAAATCCCGTAATTAAGGAGTAGACTGTAAATCATATGAGGGATCCCATTATACTTGAAGGTAGTATATTCCTTAATTAAGTCATTTTGGAAGGTCTGGGCAGCCCTGAAGTTGGGGATGTAGTGCCTTACAATCTCTCTGATCTACTGCTTTGCAGTAGATCAGCCATTCCGAATTACTTCGAGCCGCGGCCACAGCAGCTACCCTAAACTCTAAACCCGAAACCACCTTGAACCACCGTAAACCCTAAACCACCCTAAACCCTAAACCACCCTAAACCCTAAACCACCCTAAACCCTAAACCCTAAACCCTAAACCCTAGAGTTCAGGGCTGATGCAAGAGCCTGCGACTTCCCGATCACGGATCCACCTGTGCAGACGATGGGGGTTCTTTAATCGGTGCAGCCCTGGTTCTTCAGAAGGCACCCTACAAGGACCAGGGAAGCAGGGGGTTTTGAACCGGCACTGATGTCATACACTAAATTCGGAACCTTTGGAGAACTTCTGCTCGCATCCGTCCGTGCCATGTCGCGCATCTGGAGTGTGTCGGGAGACGAGCTGGCGTTTCTCTCGGAGCCGACAGGACTGTCTGTCTCCGACGTGAAGGAACGTTTGCGCAGGCTGCATGGTTTCCCGCTTTGCCTGCAAAAGCTGGTCTGTGATGGCAAGAGCTTAGAGGCTGATGATCACGCGCCTGCTGATCTTCAATTGGTACGGCTCACCGAAATTCTTGAAGATCAGGATGAAGTTGCCGGCGATGAGCTTCTCGAGGCTGTCCGAGATAGCCGCATCGAAACTGTACGCTTCCTGCTGGATGCCGGCGTGGACAAAGAATGGATCGACAGGAGAGGTGTTTCAGCTCTTCACCATGCAGCCGAAAGGGACGTTGAGACTGTGCGTTTGCTCCTGGATGCTCGCGCTGACGTGAACCAGCAGCATTTCTTTGACTGCGAAACAGCTCTGATGATTGCAGCCAGTGCTGGAAAGACTGAGATTGTCCATCTACTCTTGAATGCTGGTGCTGACAAGACCGTCACGAGTGTGAACGGCGAAACGGCACTGATGATGGCAAAAAGCAGTGGCCAGGCTGAGATTGCAAGTTTGCTTGCAAAAGCTGGCGATTGAAGCCTTCCCGCACGCTCGGCAGGTCTTCCGCCGTACAACAGACATCGGAGCACAGCAGCATTTGCTGTCAGCGAAGATCATGACCGGTCGCAAGCGAAAACACCCAAGATCTCGGGCCCGCCCCAACCCTGAACCACGTACACCTTGCGACGGTGAACCTTGCGAATCATGGCAATCAGTGCCCCAAGAGCTGGTTTATATGGGTAGTTGTCAAAATTAGGCTTTTTTTGGGTACCCTAAATTTATTAGGTGCCGTATTATGATAGGGACCCAAAAAGGGACCGTAATTTTGACAACCACCCATATATGGAACTTAATCAACTAAGCCGTTTTCAAGACTTTTTTCTGCTGGAGTCATGCAGTTCACAGCAGCTCGGGTCGTTGAATGTGTCTAGTATCGGGCTTAAAGAACTACCAATACTATGCTGGGGGTTCTTTATGTTGGTTACCCCCCAGACCCTATTGATTATTAAGGCCCCCGTATTACCTGCAGATACCGAGTGTCCTAACAATCTTTTCGCGGAAATCGTATGCATTCAAAGCCAGAATCCCACGCCCGCTGAGGACCGGCCCCAAAGATAGCATCCCCTTGTCAAGCCTTTTGCGCCAGACCAGAGACCCACAAAGCTCAATCAACGCCCTGCATCGTCTTGATATAGTATGACTCCTGCTACACAAAACCCGGGACACAGAACTACCAAGGCCCTCCCGTCTTCGATCCTAAGTCCTACAGCCAGCAAACACTCGGGCATGAACGCGCAAAAATCGGCATTTCGAGGAAGCAGAGATTTGCATGTGTAGTGGTTTCCAGCAGTTCGGATTTAGGATCGAGGTTTCAAGGTTTAGGGCCTCATAGAGGGGCTCCAATACTTATTTTGGGGGTTCCCTGTTATATTTTCAGTATTAATGGGCCCGAAACCTTATTCTAACTATTCAGGCCCCTATAGTAGCGTTTCGGCTCGGGGAGGCTGTCCGTATTTCATATTGCATAGTTACAAAGTGTTGTATATGTACATATGCACTGACACATGCCTGACACACGCCTATGTGCCGCCGTACACATCTGTGCATGCCTGTGTATCAGTTATGCCATGTGTGCATGTATGCGAAGGTGCTCAAGTTGCAACTTTTGCGTCTGGACCCTTGGAGGAAGTATGGTGGCCGTCACAACTTCAAGCTCTGCGGCGTCTTCATGGAGCCTTTCTGGAATCCTTTTGAGGGCAGCGGGTGCAGGGTTCAAGGGTACGGGGCTTCATGGGGCTTTGGGGGATTTATTGCTCAGCGGGGATGCTTTGCAAGGCTAACCCTAAACCCTAAACCCTAAACCCAAAACCCAAACCCAAAACCTAAACCCTAAACCCGAAACCCAAAACCTAAACCCTAAACCCGACACCCAAAACCCAAACCCTAAACCCAAACCCTAAACCTAAACCCTATGCCCTAAACCCTAGGCCCGAAAAAAACCCTAAGCCCCAAATTTCTTCCCCGAGGCCCGCCCGATAGCGCACCGACTCCGTAGGCTTCTTATTGGCTGTAAACTCAACTTTTCAACTTTTGGGGTTCTTATAACGTAGTCGATTCTGAAAGTTTGACTTTTATTTCCTTGGGTTTTGTCCCAGTAAGTTATGCCGTGGGAAAAGCCGCGGAATGACTATAGGTGCCTTGTTACTTAGGGTTCCTTCAAAGGGATACTGAAAAAAGGCCCTACTAGGGTTACTATAAGGATACTACTGTTATATAGAGGCCTTCATAGATACCTCTACTAGTTCGGGGGGGTTCCTTATCACCAATATAGTATAATGGGTCCCAAACCTTTATTCCAACTAGCAAGGCGCCTTTACTTCAACAGCTCAAGAGCCCCAACATGGGGGTCTGGCTAGCTCGTACTAGTTTTGCTTTTCCTGGTCCTCATATTCTAGTTCTGCCATAAGAAGAAGCCATGTTATGAAATCTCATGTTCACAGGCCCGTGTGTTCAGCCCCTGAAGCTTGAACCCTTAAGTTCCAAGCTCTACACTGCAGCGAAGCCACCATACTCAGGATCAGAAAGGCTCGCGCTACCACGAAGACTTGTCCGTTATCGAACAGATGGGCTTGCTCTTGCCTGGGGCCGTAGCCCGGACGACAATTTACGTGTTGTAGCCTTCCAAGAGAGCCCAGTTGCTCCTGAGTTAAGGATTATTCCTGCAATCATAATTGCATCTGCGATGATACCTCAAAACCCTGTATGGAAAACGTGAATAAGTAAACAAAAGATACCTGAAGGAACGAACACGGGAATACGCAAATAAATGTATGACCCTATGATATGAAGTGCCATAAGGATCAGAAGCAACTTTCGAGATCATCAAGGCTTCTAGAACGGAGCCATTCCTGACACCAGAAACAAGAACCAGTGCTGGTAGTTGTGCTGGTGCTCCTTCTGGTACTAGTACTGGTACTACTACTCCTGCTGCTCCTCCTCCTACTACGACGATGGCTCTCCCTGCTGCCACCCACCCACCCACCCACACCCACACCCACACCCACACCCACACCCACACCCACACCCACACCCACACCCACACCCACACCCACACCCACACCCACACCCACACCCACACCCACACCCACACCCACACCCACACCACACCCACACCCACACCCACACCCACACCCACACCCACACCCACACCCACACCCACACCCACACCCACACCCACACCCACACCCACCCCCACACCCACACACCCACACCCACACCCACACCCACACCCACACCCACACCCACACCCACACCCACACCCACACCCACACCCACACCCACACCCACACCCACACCCACACCCACACCCACACCCACACCCACACCCACACCCACACCCACACCCACACCCACACCCACACCCACACCCACACACCCACACCCACACCCACACCCACACCCACCCACACCCACACCCACCCACACCACACCCACACCACACACCACCCACACCCACACCCACACCCCACCACACCCACCCACACCCCACCCCCACCCACACCCACACACCCACCCCCCACCCACCCACACCCACCCCCACACCCCACCACACCCACACCACCACCCCCCACCCACCCACCCCCACCCACCCCACCCCCACCCACCCACCCCCACCCACCCCACCCACCCACACCCCACCCCCCCACCCACCCCCCCCCCACCCACCCCACCCACCCACACCCACCACCCACCACCCACCCCCCACCCACCCACCCCACCCACCCCACCCACCCCACCCATTACAACCAGAACCCCCGCTTTACAACCCATGAGCCTTTCCGGAATCCCCACTTTGTAACCGGTTGGGAAAGCTTCTTAACAACCCTATTAACTGATAACGTCAAAGCCTAGAATCTCTAGCATCATCCTTTACGGCAGCCATGCAGGTTGGAAAGTGATGTTGGTTGCAATGTGGGCGTTCTTAACCCGAAACCGCGATAGATATGTGTGTGTACACATGTATCTATATATGTATATATATATATATTCAGATGCGTGAGGGTTTGGTATCGATGATACTGTTTAGATGCTCACCTCAGCGAGCGTGTTGTTGCATAGTGGTTTGCACTTTACGCACTTGCGGCCGTCAAGCTGTATCCAACTCACTCCCTGCAGGCAAACTCGGACCGAGTGTGTTTGTCTTGGGGAAGGCAGAAAGAAAACATGAGTTTTAGAAACGGGTTCTTTTCTCACCAGAGCGCAGGTATGCATTTTTTAGTATATATATATATATATATATTATGTATATTTATATTGAAGCCAATACATGAACCCGAACATTTTACTACATTTGACGTTGTATTTACGGTTTTACGCCATACAAGTACTTTCAAAAAATGATTTTCCTTTTTTGTGTGCTTGTATTGAGGAAAGCATACATAAAACATGACCTTTTAGAACCCCAACCCACCGACCCACCACAGGCAAGGCTAGACTGCAAAGCGCAGTAACATGTAACCAAATTCCTACCCTCGAACTCCACAGCACCACGCTTCACAGACGGACTCTTTTCTCACCACAGTGCAGGTATGCATTCTTTTAGTTTATATATATATATATATATGTATATTTATAGTGTGCAAGGATAGCGTGGTTAGGGTTCTAGACCTAGTGGCTATACGAGGGTTTAGGGCCGGCTTAACAAAGGGGACGTTGGACCTAGCCGGGGCACCGCTACACCGAAGTAACTAGCTACGGACTCAAGCCTCAAGAACCCACGAGAGAACGACCCTCCCGAAGAGCCCTGAAGAGAAACCCAAACCCAGGACCGGCTCTTTTTCTTGAGCCAAACCAAGTTCCGGGTTGCGTGTCATCCTTGCGCAGGGGCCAGGGCCCGGACCTGTGGCTGTTCACAGGAGCTTTCTCCACTTCAGCCTACATCCTGTTCACATGGAGTCCTTCTCCACTTCAGTCTACATCTGCGCTCCCCCTCTCGCTGCAAGCGAGACATACACAGGAAAAACGATCTCGACTCATGCACTGGATCTCGAAAAGCGCTGCGGCGGATATCACTGGGCCCTGCCACGTCCATCACTGAAGACGGGAAAGACATGGGTGACCAGCGATTGCTGTGCGGCACACTACGCTTACGACCCAAACTAAGAAACCACAAACTAGATTGATCCCTGCAGGCGGTAACCGCGAGACTCAAGGGAAGGCACAGGTGAAAACAAAGCCCAAAAACGCCTCAACGTTCCTCACGAAGAGCGCGCAGGCGATCGTCAGCGATTCTATGGAAGAGTCGCTGCTGAACTTCATCGAGCTGATGTTCCCAGTCGAACACATATCCATGATGGACAAGGAAATCTGCTGCAGAAGCTACCTGATAATCAAAACTGGTGTGGGACACGTCGGAGTGTCCTGAGTCGGCCTCGGCATCTGGATCCCTCTGAGCAGGTCCTACAACGACGACGTCATCAACATATCGGAACACCTGTGGAGCCTCATTGTTTGCAAGCTGCGGCCAATGAGTGCGCTGCCATCGCGCGATCTCAGTCTCGAAATACTGACGACCCTGGGTCTGCCGGAAGTTCCAAGCATTCAGCAAAGCTACGTCATAATCAACACCTGCAGCCCGGTATCTCTCTTGCAGACGAACAGCGCTCGGAGTCTCCACAAAGGTAGCCGCATCCTCATAATCTTCCCACGGATCCAGGAGCTGCTGGGTCCGAGCATGAACAGAGCGAGGATCAGAAGAAGTCGAGGCGGAGCTACGATCCGGATGAAGCGGCTCAGAGTCAAGGACGACGCTAGACGAGACAAGCAATGCCTCATGATGACCTGTCCTTCGCACGTGAAGGAAAGCTCTACCCAAGTACTGCCATTGAAGGTCACCCTCCGCGACAGCACACAACTCCTCAACGAGCAACCTCACACGCGTGCGATCAAGGACAGCAAGGATGGACAGCCGGGACTGCCGCTCAGCGGAAAGCACACGAGTCACAGCTCCGTCCTGCAGCCGATTGTTGCTGGTCATGGCAGGTCGAGCATTGTTGCTGTTGGTCATGGCGGCGCGAGCAGGTGGGCTCGGAGCCTCCCAGGAGTTCACGGCCCGTCGGAACCATGAGCATCCACGCAACCACCACCAGCTAACAACTACAACGCAACAGCTGACAAAGATGGTCCAGTCTGGCCACCAACCATCCTGCAGTTCACCAGTGTGCTCACTGGTCTTACTACCATGCACCGGAAGAAGGCCTATCAAGAACCTCTAGCAACAGCAAAGCCTTCAGAATCTCTTGATGTCGCGATGCACGCACAGTGTGAGATTCGGCAGTCGACTCCACGCGGGCCTCATCAAGACCATTACTCGGGGTCATGGGACACTCGGGCAGATGCAGACCTAGATATCCTAACAGCTCGAACAGCCTGGCACGTTGCAAAGCCTTAGTGCCGACGTCGGCCAACATGAACCGACCTGGCAGGTGACGGAGCAGCCAACCGGAGGACAACTTCTCCTTGACGACATTTGCACGCACATGGAGGTGTCGAGACCTCCATGCCCCGAAGGGCACGCTGCAGATCGAAATAGTGGCCTTGTTATCGCAATACAACACACACTGAACCGACGTCTCAAGCAGCGCTTCAAACAAAGGCTTCTGGGCTTCTAGGTCTGACAAAACATGCGCTAACCCAACCAACTCACATTCTGCCGTGGATTGGGTCATGAAGGCCTGGCGCTGAGAACTCCAGGTAATCAAAGCGCCTCCAAGCAGTGTCATCGAGCAGTGGTGGGAACGTCCACCCTGGGGTGCGAAGCTAGCGTCACTGATACCTTCCGCAACCTCCAAAACCCGACGAACATAAACCCCTTCAGGCCCCTCATCCCCAGGTGGCGGCCCGTACGAGAGCCCGGTGCTCGGGTATTTGCGGATGTACCGCAGAATCTGGTGGCCAATGGCTTTAGCCTCCTCGGGCCTGCTGCTTAACAGACGTGTCATGGCAGATACTGCAAAGCAGATGTCTGGCCGCGTGTAAGTCATAAGCCATAGAAGTTCACCAGCAAGTTGCTGGCACTCACGAACGAGGGCCGGATTGGCCTCCTCAGGTTGGGCGTTGACTTCCCCAGGCCTCGGAACGATGGGCAAGTCAGACTTCTCCTGGCCTGGGTATCGCAACAGAAGTTCGGCAGTGAACGATTTTTGATGCAACAGAATGGCTTCACCACGACGTTCAAGCTCAAAGCCCCGATACGAAAGAATGCCAACCTCATCAAGATACTCCGGTGCGGTAGTTTTCCACAGAGAGCACACAAACTCCGTGAGTGGACGAATGAACGAGGGCTCAGCAGCGATCAATGCATCATCTACGTACCAAACTACGAAACCGACGGTGGTTGCAGAGCCATCTGCAGCGGTAGCGATAACCCTCCAAATATTGGGGTCACACTCAAGCCTGACGAAAGTGACATCGCAGTCCAACAGACAAGCCTTGGCGGTTGACATCGTGTGATCGCGCCCCTCACACCAACTACGCGGTGCAATTGTTAGCCCATACAGGGCTCCCAGCACCAGCCAGAAGCGCTCAGAACAGATGTGATGAATGCGCCACAGGGTCGGGGTTTTGACGACTGTGGGCACGTCATGTGCATCTATAAGCTTCGACTGCAAGAAGGCGG